AAGTCATTTCAATAAGACTGTAAGGGGTTTTGTGGGAAGTAATTACAACCAGAAATGATAGCAAAACCATATTCTCAAAGGACAGTGTTGTACGGGAACCTAATGATGCAGATAGAATATCATTTAGTACATTTTAAAAGAATTACGAAGAACACTGCCAATGACATTGTTGTCCTTTAACATGTAACAGTATTTTAAATGTTTAAGAAATATGGTGCCTTTAAATGATGCAAAGATAAATCTATTTTCAAAGTTAATTTATACTCAGGAAATTAAAATATTTATTTGTGCCATGATTTACAAAAATTTATTTCAAAAAGACATGTGTAGTTTGTATTTTCACTAGCAATAAGTGATGTTTTAAAAAAGAATATAACCTCCTGATACACCCAACTCTGTCCACATCATGAACCATATTTAGTGAATTTGCCTTACTGAACAGGCTGTATATAAAGAATTTTTATAGTGACAGAGTTAGAGAATGTTATTTAAGATATGTGTCGATTCATTTATTTGACAAATACTTATTAAACCTACAATTAAACAAACACTATGCTATGTGCTGAAGACACAGTAATGAATATAATGTCCTTCCCCAAATGGATTAAGTGGTTTATATACTGTCTTATTGAATGCTAGGCCATAATGAACTACCATCCTTAAATCCATTAATTACATTATGTACATTGACTGCCAATTTAAAAAGATCCTTAAGAAAAGCAAATTTTCAAATGTGTATGTTTCATATTAAACAATTGGTCCTTATATTTTTTAGTTTATTATAGAAATTGGAAATATATTTCAAAACTTAGGGGTGTATGTGTATGTTTATATGTTATAAATATTATGCATATTATACATAACTTCATGTATTTTGTATATCAAAACCAAAAAGGTGGTATTTTAATAACAAAACTTCCTTAGTAATCTTCCACACTTATAACATATATCAATACTTTAAGCAGTTCTAGTAAACAACAGATATTAAGTAAATAAAATAAAAGGATAGAGATTTTGACATTATAGTCATTAATTGATTTATAGCCTCAATTTGAATAGAGTAAAAATTATTATCATCTGTTCACTATTTTTGGTCAACCTTTAGTGAATCAGTAGTCTCAGTGTGGCTTATTTCTCACTAAATCAGGTCATATTAAAAAAGAGATTGGTGGTGGTCTGAGTAACAGACTAAGATTGTTGGGTCACATTTATTCAATAATCAGGGTGGTTGATGAGTCACTTTGAAAGTTGAGTACCAAGGAAATAGCATACAATTTGCTTGGTAATTTTAGCATCTTTTTAGAAAATAAATTTTCAAAATATGCATGGTAAAGGGACATAAATACTTGAAAATTTCACATACTTGAAGCTTGAATGTGCAATTCATTCCAGCCTATGAAGGTATAGTGCATTCAAAGATGTAATTCTAATACAAGTTGCTCAGGTCACAAGGAGAAACCCAGAATCTTTTGCATGTTAGATTTTATAAATTGGTAGGAGGAATAAGATGATTAAGTACAGAAAATTGGCAGCTCAAAGCTATACTTAACCGAGAAGACATGTTGTTATACAGTATCTCCTTTATTCAGTCACTCAATGAGGTTTTAAAAAAAGATATTCTACTATGCCCACCATCATCAGTGGTTCACTTATAATACCATCTTTCTCTGAAATATTTTCCAGGAATTGTAAAATTATATATGTAATTTTAAGAACTATATATTTGAGTATATAATATATTGATATAATTTTGTGTGTGTATATGTAGAGGTGATAATTAAACTATGTCTTTAAAATGACATATATACATATATATGTACATAGATACACATGCATACACATGTATATGCATGTGTGTGTGCCTGAAACGAATGAAATGGCACTATATATTTCTCTTCATTCTCTGAGCACTATTACATGCTGCCTGTCAATAAGTGCTAGTCTGAAATTTCACTGCATAAATTATTCAAGAAGTGTTTGGAGTGGATGCTGCTATGAATCACCTAGTTCCCCTCCCAGAACTGAGAGATTGAGGGAGCCCTGCTGGTAGGAACAACTCAGCTGTTAGTGGCCATCTGGGACTAGTCAGAGTCTCCAGTCACTGCTCAGATATGAGGACACAGGCCCCCCGGCCCTTGCCCAGGCTGATTGCAATTCAGAGGCTCTTGGTGGTTCGGCTGAAGCTGCCATCTGGATGCATCATGGCTGACAATGTCTCCCTTTGCCTACACCTGCTTCCTTCTCTTTTCTCCTCCATCTGAATTCCAAAAATGCTCTCTAATAGGCCCTCTGTGATAATTTCCATCTCAAAGTCATCTTCCTGTGGAGACTACGACCATTTTAGTGACATAATAGTCTTTGCTCTTAGTGGTCTGCCATGCTGTCTTGCATTGAATGAGTGACCAGGCTTGGGTTATAGCCTCTTTAAAGTCATTTATGTATGTGTTTCTTAGAGAATTTAGATCAACTGGTAGCAAGGATACATAGGAAAGAGGAAGATGTATCACAGTGCATATGAAAATCAAGTTTATAGGGTCTGAATCCTTCAATAAAATCTTAGAATAAACAGTAAATAAAGAAAAACTGAAGTTGTCTAGGATCTGTGGGAGTTCTTTGACAATATGAGGAATTTTATGAACATCAGGCAGTTTAGAGGATTCTCTGGTGGTTCTACTTAGGAGAACTGGAAGAAACTCCTGTGGAGTTACCACAGGGCCTCAGGCATTTCGAATAGGAGTTCAATGCATGGCACTGAGACAGGATTTCAACAAGACTAGACAATAGTAACCCCCAATGGCACTGATTCAGTTATTGCTCTCATTTTTTCTAGACTGGACCAGCTTCCTTAAAGAGTATTTAGCTATGTCAGAAAACTAAAAAAAGAAACTTAAATTTCAGGACACAATGATCAATATAACAAAGATTGTGCCTTCGCAATATTCAATGCATTTCATAGAAAACAGTGATTGCATTTCAATACTAATGCTTACATATTAATTTTTCTTAGAAAGTGGTTTCGTCTCAAATATACATGTTCATGTTTTTATAGTTTCAATGTGATAAAAATATATTAAAACTTTTGCTATAACACAATCTACTCAATTTATGAAGTTTTCTTCACTAATGATGGAATTAAATGATGCCAAATTACTGAAAATGTGTTCTTCCAAAAGCACCATCTGGATTCTTGACAGTATTGGCAGCTGGAAACAGTTCTTAAATCTAACAGTACTCTTGGGTCTCTAATCTGGTTAGTCCATCAAAAGCTACGTTAACTAATGCAAAGACTTGCTATGCTCTGATAATGTAACATTATTATTACTTTCATCTTTAGAAAACAATGTTGTTTTAAAGTGCAGTTGATGAAATTCTCATTCACCATATTCTTTTTAATATTGTTGGCTCCAAATATTTTCACATAGAAAAGATGTACTCATATTACTTCATTTAACTCTACTTATTTATCAAAATCCCTAAGTCCATGAAATCTCAGACCACTTGAATGTTATTCAACATTGTACAACTACCTCGAGCAGTTTCTGGAACTAATGCAATATTCTATAAACATTGTTGACTGAACAAACTCACAACTAAGTGAATACATGAATATATGAGTGATTTATTTTGTATTTCCTAAAATACACTCTTATCACATGTACCTAATGTATATTTCTTTCAATTAACCAATTAACTTAAAAAGTAAGCATGGTTTTGGAATCATACAGTGTTGTAAATCAATGTTACAAAAAATTATTTAAAAAATAAATTAAAAGAAAAAAATGCACAATAAATTTTCAGCTATTAAAAAGAACAAACAAAAATAGGCATGAGCTAAAAAATAATAATGGCAAAGTAACACTTCTCTACTAGATATAAAGAATTTTGTTGATAGAATTTCATTTGATTACATGATGCATCACAACTGTTTCATCCTGAATGACTAGCAAGTTTCCAGTTTCAGTTAGACATATTTAGAACAACCTTGACCAGGGTCCATCGTAATGTCTCCACATTTTATTTATGTACCAGGAGTTTTCTTCCATAGGAAGAGGTCTCATTATCTAGCAAGAGCAGTTTCTACTTTGTTCCCTTGTTAATCCACACAATTTATTTCTGCATGTTTTATGGCACTCATCTTATTCTTCCATGAATTTTTTGTTATTTTCAGCTTTGATTCTATATGTTAATTGCTAATTTTATGTGGGTAGAGACATTGTTTCATATTATGCACCTAAGCACTACACAGAAGATCCTACTACCTAATACAGAGTCAACGAAATGTACAACAGAATTAATGTTTTCACCAAAGTCATCTGTTGCTTTGATGCATAAGAGAATCTAAATTGCATTTTCCTAAATACAAACAAAAAAGTCAGTTGCACATGTCTTACAATTCTAGATGGGAAAGTGTATTTTAATGAACAATTTAAATCATTGAAGCAAATTGTTCCAACTAAATCTATGTAAATAATGCATGTCAACACGCTATTGCCCCCATTGCAGGGAATAGACTGAAAGTGATTCTGTTCCCCTGTTTCATAGTACATGAGTTTTTAATCATTCAATAATTTCCATGTTTGGGCATCCCTGGTGGCACAAGGGGTTAAGCAAAGCACTATGAAGCTATCAGCAGCCTCTGCAGCACAAATTCAATCCCCGGCAAGCCAGGAAGCTACCCACAGAGTGCAGCAGGCCTCTCCTGTCTCACCCCCTGCTTCCCTCAGCAGTGTATTTCAGTCAGTCTGCCTGTTCTGTTCCCCACTCTGGTGAATCCTCTCACCCCCTACACCTCTGGACTGTACCCCAATTTTTGTATACACAAATAAATAAATAAAAATCTTTTTAAAAATTCTAATTTCAATGTTTATTATGTAAGGATATCAATTCTTATATTTAAATAAATCTATAAACACAGACTGGGTTTGAAAAGTCAAGAGAAAATTAAAACATAACTTTGTAAGTAGATTTTTTAAGTGTCAAGTCTTCTTTTCTGATCACAGGTATACAAATGCAGAGAAACCAATTTTCTACTTTATTGCAAAGGAAGAGCAAATTGAAATTCAGAACTGGCTGAAAAGAGCAAGCAGTTGGTCAATCAGGCCTCTTGGTTACAGGCATCCAAACAGAAGTCAGTGGGTACAATTAAGATCATTGAAATTTCCAGGGGATTGGGTATACCTCTAACTAAACAAATCAATAAATGGTCTTTTTTCTGTGAGTGTGAATTGGTTCTAACTGAGCTGAGATGATCTAAGATATCAGATTGCTTAACTATATATTTTAAACAATTTTATTTTGTAATTCAAACTGAGCTATATATCTACAAAACTCATATTTTATAACAGTTCAGTATACACTTAAATAGTGAGCTTTCAAGAACATTTAATTTGGCATATACATTAAAGTATCACTTACACAGGAAGCATCATAGATTATGAATATCATAATATATAAAGCCCCATATCCTTGTACTTTAAGAATTTCACTCCAACACAACAACCAGATAATTATATGTGTAAGTCCACAGTGACTTATACGCTTAAAGTTCAGATACTATAGTAATCTTCTCATATCTAGTTCAGTGATATCCTAGACTTGACCTTTGAAAGCACAGCATAAATTAAGTTGATAGTCCTTATGTACTTATTAGCTTGTTTTTTTTTTTTTTTATATTTGGTATTTAACCATATTCTGTTACATATGCTTATTGAAAGGGACATTTTTCTGTTCAAATATGATTTTAGACATGAAAAATAATCTGTAATAAAATTAAGATTCAAACATAAAGTAATATTTTCAAAAATTTCCATTTTGAAATTAAGGAATAAGTCTGCTAAACACTGTCATGAAGTAGATATAGCTATAAAGGAGGAAGAGTTAACCTCTTGCATTTTAGCTAACAGTAGCTTCTTAACTTCGTATTGATTTTCTACAGAGCACAAGAAAATGGAAGTTTGAAGGGAAAACCTATTAAGTGGCTCCAGTAATACTGAAATTGAAACAAGTTCACATATATCTATTAGTGTGAAATCCTTGTAAGGAAATTTGGATTAAAGTCTAGAAAGGGTTAGATTGTTCATAAAATCAATACAATAGACATAAAGTCAGGTGGGGAAAATATAAAGTCTGTGATTAAAACATGTATGAAAGCTCAAACATAAAATGCTAGTGAATCTGGAGTAATTACTAAAATTATACATTCTTCACTGTATGATATCTATATAATAGACTAATGCCCTTTATGTGCCCTTTCTTAAATTTTATATTAGTTTTCTCATCCAGAAAAAGAGAGACTCATATAATAAATGCTTCTATACCTACCATCTTATGTATACTGGCTAATAGTTATAATTAGTCATACTTATTCATCCATCATTTCCTGAAATATTGGAAAATATATTACAAATCTGATGTTTCATTCCTTGATATTTCAGCATTCAATTCAACAAAAGATAATACAAAAGAGTCATGATGTAATTTTATAACCAACAAATTTAAAAACAGTCCCAAAATATCTTATATACCCAATTCATATTCAAACTTGTCCTAAAAATATTTTTAATAGCTATCTTGTTCTAGCTGGTATCCCATCAAGAATTCAATTTATTGTATGTGTTTCTCATTAATATATTTTTTCTCATCTTCTTCTTTTTTTCCCCTAAATATTGGTAATACATAACTCCTCACTCTGTGAGCATTGAGTTTTGGTCTTTTAATTGGATTATGTGTATTTTTAAAATTTTAGGGGAAAAGGCAAAATCATGCATCCTCCTATTCTATAGCATATTATGAGGTATTAATATATAATGCCTCATTATCCCAACAGCTTCGCTAAAAAGATCACACTAAAGTTATGACAGCCTTAAGTCTTCTTTATAAAGTTACGTTTTTCCACTTCAGGTCAGTTAGTTTGTGTAGTCCAGCTTTGGTGTTTTGAAAATATTCACTTAGTCATTAGTCTTCTATCTAGCAATCTTAGTGAACGTCGATGTTCCCTGCCTAAACCTATAAAATTCCTTCATAGAGCATTAAAAAAAATAGTGCTGTACCTCCTATAGTTTTTCAAAGTTCATATACAAATACAAAGGCAACAACTATAAGTTACTACTGCATGTATCAAAAAGGCTGCATTATATATGTATATATATGTACACTGACAAATGACTGTTTTAATTTCTACATTATAATATCCGTTATATTATAAACATAGTTGCATCTTGCATTTCTCCTTCAACAGTTCTTTGTGAAAATCCCTAAAAATATAATGGGATACAGAGATCCAATCATCCTTTTTTAATGAGTCTGAAACTGTACGTATATATTTACAATCAGTTCTCCAAATATTTGTTTTTATAAAGATTTATTTATTTATGCATTTTGCAACCATGTACATTTCCTCTCTCAGTGTTTGAGAAATTTTTAAAATGTGATATCAACCAGTACAAAATGATATTTTATCATTATCTTAACTAACTAGTTGAGAAGCTTTTTGTTTATTTACAGAAAATTCCAATATCTGTTTTTGACTGGCTTGGACATATTCTTGTTTTTCATTACTTTGATTTCTTTAACACCTTTCTGTTTACTTGATAGAAAATTTCTGCAAATCTATCACTAACAAGGCAAGTATTGTTGTGAAATCTACATTTTCCTCATCAAACTGTGTCTGGAGTGGCATCAATTTTCTTCCTAAGTGTAATATTTCAGGAATATTACTCTAACTTCTGATTCTGTTCTGCAATACTGCTTCTTTCAGTCACTGGGCTTCTGTCACAATGAGTGTCTTATTTCAAAGTTTTGTTTAGTAATTGCATTCTTCTATACAATCTATCTCTTCCATGTTCTTGGATTTTTGAAACATATTTTAATGGAGTACGTTTTTCAATCTTTTTCTTAAAAAACGTCTTGCATGTGCAATTTTTTAAAAATTTTTAAAAAATAATTTTTCTTTAAATATGTTTCTAAGAATTCATTTTAACAGTAAGAAATTAATGACCCTCTAATTTCTGTACTGTTTTATTCCATGTAGTTATTTTTCTTTCTGGATTCATTTAGAAATCTAACTTTATAGTTGGAGTTCAGAAATTTCACAAAAGTAAAGATGATAATAAAAACAATGATGCTGTTACGATGATAAATTCTATTCAATATTTGACTACTGTCTTAATTTTGAAAACCCTTGACTCTGATGACTTCTTTTTTTCATTCTTTTGTTTTTAATCTCTAGAATTTCTGCATGGCTTATTTCTTAATTCCTGAAATTTTTGCTTTTTTACCTCCCTCCATTAGAATATGAATTCCAAGGTGGTGAAAGCTTTGCTTATTCACGGTTATATCCTTAAACTTCTGTAATATCTGGCATCTAGTGGGTGCAAGGTAAGTATTTATCAAATGAATACTTGAATGCAAGGAAGAATGGATCAAACCGTACACTTTTTTGCTTTTGGCAAAAAGTAACATGGACTTTATTTAGTACTCAATGGGGAGTTCTCATAGGTTTTTTAATATATTGACATACTGGAGCACTGCTTTAGAAAGATTAATGTGGAATGCTACAAAACTGAATGACAAGCAACAAGGCTGAAGGAATAGGAAGCAGTAAGAAAGCTTTGCAATTTTTTGTTGACTAAGTGGGAATAATAAATAGGTAGATTATTCAAATATTTATATATAGGCAGATATTATTTAAAATCATTAATAGACTTGATAACTGCACAAAAACATGTGTTTTGATGGATTTTTCAAAACTGTTTTACTTTTGAGATCAACATTCAGAGCTGATTTTTTTTTTTTTTTTTTTTTTTTTTGCGGAGATTAAGATCTTGCTGAATCCCATCTGGTTTAGGAGTTTCGATAAAAGTATCTATGGATTAGTTTCCTTAACAGATCTGCCAATGTAGCACAAAATCTCTGCTTTCTACCCACCCATCTTCTGCTCACACCAGCTCTAGCTGACCCACTCTCTTCTTTTCACCTCCATGCCCTCCATTTTAATTGGGTTTTCAGCCCTGACAATGGACATCTGGTTCTCAGCCTCCCCATGAATCTGAGAGCTGTACTCTTTAAACTGATAAAATCGAAAGCTCATCAGAGGGCAACATTTAGATGAACCAACAGAAAAGCTTTTATTAAATAAGGGCTAGAGGAATACAATTTAAAACGATAATAGAGCTGTCAATTTTCTCAATAATTAATGTACTTTTCTATAAAAATCCAAATAAGGATATAGTCTCTTTTATTGATTTATTTTTGAAAATGTAAAGTAGGTGCTTTTGTGTTCTCAATATTTAATTTTGTGACCTATAATATTACATCAGTGGATGTCCAATTATTTTATTAAATAATTTGAATAAAAATAAAGTAAAAAATGCTTAGTTTATTCCTATGATACTAGACATGAGTAATATTTAAAGTTACATCCTACTTGTTTCTATATACAGTCACACAAATTACCTGCAGGATAAAGTTTCCAAAGTGACTGTGGACAAGGACAAAGAAACAAACACTTTTGGGCCTTGGCTTCCTCTCAGGACATGTGCTATTATTCTTACTCTGTCCCATTTCTTCTTTTAGTATTGACCACTTTCTCAGGCTTTACCCAATATTTGTTTCCTACCTAGTTACCTACATAGAATATTAGTTCCAGCAGGCTTGAAATCCAGAACAGATTTCCAGAACTTGCAACAGTCAGAATGAGATCCATTCTGGAATTCAGTGACTACCGGTTGCAGGAATTAATGAATGAAAACATACTTATCTTTAAACATTCCCGCTTCAAAATCAAATATTCTATAGATACCTTAATTGCTCTTTTTCACACACATAATGCTTTGTCTCCAGTGTCTTTCTCTAACTAAAAATGATTAAGTTATTTTTTTAAAAGATTTATTTTATTTTTATGCACACAAGAGCTGGGGTACAAACCAGAGGTACGCGGGGCGGGGCGGGCGGGGGGGGGGGGGCGGTGAGGGGCGTCACCAGAGACAAAGCTGGGAATAGAACAGGCAGATTGACCAAAACATACTGCTGAGGGGAACAGTGGCTGAATCAGGAGAGGTCTGCTGCGCCATGTGGGTCATCTCCCTGGCCAGGGATTGAACTCATGCTGTAGTGATTGTGGTCAGCTTCACGGTTGCCGTCCTAACCCCTTACACCATCAGGGAAGTCCAATTGAGTTATTTGATTTTAAATTTTAATCGTTTGAAAAGGGGAAAACTGGAATCAATAATATCCAAGTCAACTCATCTCTCTTCTCCCTCCTGTGCGATAAGTCTGTATTAACGAAGTTCCCTACAGGACACCAGATATTTTTCCATAACCTTAAATCAGAAACTATTTCTTCCTACATTTTAGCAATAAAGTAAATACATTTAAGTAAAATATAATTGTACTTCAACCTAAGAAATGGAAAAATGTTTTTTTTTTTTTTTTTAAATAATAAATTTTATTTTTATATTCCCCCATACAACTGCACATGCCCCATTCTGGAAAAATGTTTTTGATTAAAAAAATGAATGTTCTTAAGATAGATTAGGGTATTTTGCTTCTATATCTGCCTCACACAAATAGCTCCTTTGACCTGAAATATTTAGAATATAATAGTGACATAATAGTCACAGCAACAGAAAATTAGCTACAGGCAAGATGCAGGGAGGTAGTAGTACAGATAAAAAAGTTACTACGAAAACATCTTATAATTTATTGAATGTTACCAAACATAATAAAGATTTTCAGAGAGTATCTTACAAGCCTTTTATTCCATAATACCTTTGTAAGGTACATTTGTAAGGTGCTAGCAGTAGGAGTAGTCAGAGTGGAAGCATGTAGCTGAAGGGATACCCCATGTTCAAAAGGGGTTCAGCCATCCATGTGCACAAAGGCAAAGCAGACTCTTAGTGGGAAAGAACTTTAATAGAATTGGTATGCACAGAGAGGAAAGAGAGTATATTACTAAAAGTTTTCCAATAAACACCCAAAATTTCCCATCCCCTCACGGGTAAATAACTTAGCTAAACAGAGTCAATCCAAAGTGGGGTCACTGAAGCCTGAAAACTTGCCACGTTTAAGGAACCTTTTGCAAGGAACCATAGAAAAGGGATTCTGAGACAATTCTCAAAAAATCTGGGACAAAGGGATACAGCACATCAAAAGAACAGCTGCCATTGTCAGTCCCCCCACGTCTCTCACCCACATGACTCTTTCAAGTGTGTCTACATGTGTCTCTACCATGTGTCTCTTTCCATGTCTCCTTCCCAACAGCACCAGGGTACAAGCTGGGCCGCAGAAGCAAGCATCCTCCTTGAGCCCAGCTGCCTTCTGTGTTACAGCTTCACCTGGTCGCTCAACTCAGGCCTATAATTCCCAGCAGGAAGCATGGTAGCTCCCCTATTAAGTGAACAGAGCAAGACCCTATGGATTCCCCATAAGGCAAATCAGAGCTCCATCTTTCTACCAGGTTCTGATTTCCATGGCCTGTTACCTGCTGTTTTAAATAGTTCTGGGACTATTTAACCTCAAACCTCTGGGACTATGAACCTCAAACAAGTAAGACTCAGAAATGACTGGGAGGCTAAATGATACAAGAGTAGTTCCAAATGTTTAGTATCTTCTTGCGGAGGGATGAAAATGATTAAAACATTAATTCATGTTGGTGAGGTGATTAAACTTTCAGACTGAAGTTGCCCAAGAAAGTTTATTTCATAACTATATCCTATTATAGTTTCTGATAATTAAATATTTTCAAGTAATTTGGTTTCCAAGAGTGCTTAGATTGGATTCTATCAGGGATGGTAGATAAGAGGAGTTGTCCAATAGGCAATTTTCTCAAATTTCAAGAAAGCAATTGCCTGAGGAGACCCATGAAATTTTTCACAGATTATTAGTTATCAAGAACTTGTACCAGAAAGAAATGAATCCACTTCTTAAACATGTCTTAAATTGGAAACATACGAAATATCATTTATATGCACTTATGTTTATTAAATAGAATAGATAATTATATTGCATTGTTACTAATAATATCAAGCTTAATTGAAAATACAGTAGAATTTAGTCATATTTGAATAAAATTTAATAAAAACCTAAGATATGCTATAAATTGGTTTTGAAAATTATTTGACTAAGTTATTTACCCTGTAGGAACTCCTGTGTTAATGCATATCTAAAACAATAAGGTACTAACCTTAACCTCATTAGTCAAGAATATGTCTACCACTCAGACATGATACCAATTTTTCAGAAAATTAAAGAACATTTTGAAATCAACTGTAAGTGTATCTCAAGTGGTAGTGATCTTGTATTCCAATAAGGACAATCCTTTCCTGAGTGATCATATCAGAAATGAACCTTAATCCAAAGATGAATCAAAAAATAATATGAAATTCTGACAATCATACTTCATCTTATTTTATCTGAATTTATCTAAAGGCAGAATTACAGGGTTACCCGGAAAACTGCATGTCTATTATATTTTAGCTAATTGATTTAAAAAATCACTGCTTCTTCCCCATATTTTTTTGATTGTAAATTTTCTTGCCTCTGAAAGAAACTTAGACAATCTACTCATTCATATAAACAAGAAAGCTTGGGATCTGAAAGGTCAGATGCCCCTATTGGTTCTTGGAAGGCTGAGATAGTTCAAAGTTCTGACAGTTCTTTGATTTGACAAGTAACCAGCCACCATATTCCCCATTGGTGTTTCAAGTTTCCTTCATGCATTCACTCAAGGTACATCTATTTAGCATTTGTCATATAATAAACACAGACAGTTCTGAGCAGAAGCTAAGCAAAACAGACCAAAACTTAGACATTTCCTAACCTTCATGAAGTTTTCAGGCCACTTGAGGAGGAAAATATTAATCAAAGATCTCATGAGTTAACAATAATTAGAAAATAGCAATTTCATTAAGTGAAGAAGAGGTGATTTGGTCCAAATAGAATTGTGTAGACAGCAAGAGCCTTTATGAGACTGATGAATGAGCTGTAATGTATTTGTAAAGCAGTAGAATAGAGGTGACTTGGGAAGCTTAGAAGCTTATAAAAAAAAAAACCTACTTCTCTCTGAAAAACTCACAGAGTTCTGAATTGGGGTAAAACTTTGCTTTCATGGCATATTGGATTTCATCAACCAATAAAATCTATCAAAATAGGTGCCTTCTACTTTGCACCAGGAACCACAAGGTCCGCAATTACAGAGACTGTAGATTAAAAAAACGTAAGACTTAGGCTCAGTGAGCACTAGAGGCCAAGCAAGTCTCCTCCTAATCCCACAAATTATTGTCTAGAGCACACAGTTAGCAGTCTGTCCCCCTCTCCAGCATCTGCCTTCCATTAATTTGTAATCCACTCTGACCTTCTTGCTGTTTATTTAGCACTCTAGGTATCTACTGCCTCAGGAACTTTGCACTTGCTGGTTCCTCTCTTGGAAAGCCCTTCTGCTGAATGTACATATACTATATTCCTTTATCCCCCTTTTTTTCAAAAAGATTTATTTATTTATTTATACAAGTACTGGGTACAGTCAGAAGCATGGGAGGGTGAGAGAATTCACCAGAGTCAGAGCAGAGAGCAGAGCAGGCAGGCCGATGAAGAAACACACTGCTAAGAGGAGCAGAGGGTGGCAGGAGAGGTCTGCGCAGCATGTGGGACCCTCACCCGGTGGTTGGGGATTGAACTAGTGCTGCAGAGGCTGCAGGCAGCTTCACAACCCAGTGCTCAACGGCTGCTCCACCGGGGAGGCCCTCCTTTACCCCTTTTTAATGCTTGATCAAAGACCACCTTGTCATGGAGGCATTCTCTGCCTGTTCTAAAATTGCAACTCTCCTTAACATCCTCACATTCTTGCTTTACTTTTCCCAAAACATTTATCACATGGTAATAGATTACATCATTTCTTTACATTTGTTATCATTTATTATCTGTACCATAGAGGTCTATAAAGTGAGCTTTATAAGAGCAAAATTTTAAAACCATCTTCCCCAGTATATCACTGGAGCTTTGAATATTGGGAGCACAGAATAGGTGCTCAATAAATGCTTCTCAAAGAAATGAATAAATGGAAGAAAAAGATCCCTAAAAATAAATACAATATTTTTTGTATCAGGCTGTGATTTCTAATGTCTGCCACTTTAGCTGGTGCTAGAAAAAAAGTTAAAAGTAAATAAAAGCAATTCTATTGGAAGTCAACGCATCCCAAATATTTATTTTTTATAATGAACTGGCCTAATTCAGTGATTAAATTTAAGAACATGGGTTCTCAATTTATATGCATCTACTTGGACCTTTAAGGATGAAATTGAGAGGTCACAAAAAAAGCCAGCCAGCTAAATAAGGAACCAGGAAAAACACTAATTATAATAATGAAAAATCAAAATCAACAAGCAACTATAAACCAGAGACACACTACGTGGAGGGGGAGAGGAGGAAATAGGATCAAAACAAGGGCAGGTAGGAATTGTATGGGGACTATCAACAAGAAAAAAATGCATACATTATGCAAAAATGAAAAATGATGTAAAAATATATAAAATTATTTTTAAAGATTT